TTCACAAGTAGAGAGAAAGAAAATTGAAGAAAATGGAGAGAAAGCCAAGCGTGTGTGAAAACCAAGTTAGCCATGTTTTGGTATTTCCTTTTCCAGTACAAGGTCACATAAACCCAATGTTCCAATTCTCCAAGAGATTGGCCTCAAAAGGCCTGAGGGTGACACTAATTACTGTCACTACTCCTGCCAAACCATTGCAGCTGCCAACAAGCTCCATCAACATTGAGTCAATTGAATTCGATGAAGGTTATAATGACAATGAGGTTATGCATTATATTGAAGTTTACAACGCAACAATCCCAGGTAGGCTAGCCAAGCTCATTGAGAGGCAGAACACCTCACAATATCCTGCTAAATTTGTTATATATGATTCGAATATGCCATGGGCGTTAGATGTGGCTCGAAGTGCAGGCATAGATGGAGCTCCTTTTTACACTCAACCTTGGGGAGTTAATGTCATCTACTATCATTTGCACCTAGGGACTCTCAAAGTTCCTTTGGAAGAGCCTATTGCTGCATTGCCTTCAATGCCGATACTGGAAGCCATTGACCTGCCCTCGTTTGCTCGTGATACAGATGCATATCCTAGTCTACTCAATGTTAAAATTGCTCAATTCTCAAATTTGGAAGAAGCAAGATGGGTCTTTTGTAACACTTTTGATAAGTTGGAAGATGAGGTAAGTTCAAAAAATTTTTGAGGTTAGAGAACTTAATTAATTAAGTAATTTTGTTGAGGATTAAATTATGTTATACAATTCAAAAATTAAATTAAAGGTTAGGACTGCTCTGCTCTAACTTTAGATTATTGTATTAGATTAGACTATTACTAGTAAAAAATTTAAAAATACTTTGTATTCAATAACTTTAAAATCTCTAATTTGAATTCAATTAGACTTAAAATCTTTGCAATAATGAAATAAGTTATTTTTCATGATTTATAACATTGGTTTCTATGTTACATAAACTTAAAAGTATGAGACACAATTTTATTTTGCTTTATCTTTGATTAAGCACTCTCAGTCTTGCCAAAAATTTTCTATGTTGCTAAACATGTTGGTGGTTTCTAATAGGTAATCAAATGGATGGCAGCAAACCATAAACCAATCAAGACAATTGGACCTACTGTTCCATCAATGTACCTAGACAAGAGGTTGGAGGATGATAAGGACTATAGTCTCAATCTATTCAAACCGGATGTGGATGCCTGCATCAAGTGGCTAGACTCAAAGGAAGCTGCATCAGTTGTTTATGTATCATTTGGAAGCTTGGCCACCTTAGGAGAAGAACAAATGGAGGAAATAGCATGGGGCCTAAAGAGGAGCAACAACTATTTCTTGTGGGTTGTTAGAGAAACGGAACAAAAGAAGCTCCCTAGCAACTTTGTTGAGGAGACATTAGAGAAAGGGCTAGTAGTGTCTTGGAGCTCTCAATTGAGAGTTCTAGCTCATGAGGCAGTAGGTTGTTTTATAACTCATTGTGGTTGGAACTCGACAATTGAGGCGTTGAGCTTGGGGGTGCCAATGGTGGCAATGCCAATATGGACAGACCAACCAACTAATGCGAAGTTTGTTGAAGATGTATGGAAGGTAGGAATTCGAGTTAGGATGGATGAAAATGGCATAATTAGAAAGGAAGAGATTGAACGGTGTATAAGGGAAGTCATGGAGGGAGAGAACAATATGGATATCAAAAGTAATTCAGAGAGGTGGAGGAGATTGACCAAAGAGGCAGTTGATGAAGGTGGAAGCTCTGATAGGAACATAGATGAATTCGTAGCAGAACTTATGTTCAAATAGGTATTTGGTGTAGTTGTTAGTTGGTCAAAAAGAAGTTAATAAAATTACGTATTCTTGAAGTTAATGGTTGAGGTTGACCTTTAGTCGCACATGTTGCATAGGGTTCGACGAAAATAAGCACAAATTTGGACTACTTATTTTAAGTGAATGATCAAGGAGTGGCAAGGGTGAACAACCTTTATATCTGTTCGATCCTACTATTAAAATATTACAAATTTACGATTTCAACATTATAGAGTATTTAAAATTTTATTTTTTAATATTATTCGTTATTAGTCAATTATTGTAATTCATTAATAAAAATATGTGATTTATTAATATTGAATTTTTCACTGCCGTATCTCTCTTTGACTTCAAAACACTTGCTAATCTCATTTTTAATGAGTATTTATAAACTTTAAGAATTTATGAAAAAGCCAAAAGCTTAAGAGTGTCGACGCCTATAATATATGTATCTGTACTTCTGTTTATTTTTCCGTGCCTATTTTCCATAGGCTTAACGCAGAGCACTGGAATTGAAACTTAGATGTCGACACCAAACCCGTGTCGGGTTCTTTTCGCACTGCATTCAATGGTAAAATAATAGATTTGGTCTTCCAGCTTCCATACAATGATCATTTTCATCCCATATATTAATTTGAACTCATTCATTTAGGTCCTCTTAGCAGCCTCTCACCTCGCAATTCATTCCTCAATTCAAAAGATATTCAATTAAATCTAAAAACTTCTATTATTATGTATTTGAGTCCTTTTCTACATAAAAAATGAAAATTATATAAAATCTATTGGATTTCACATCTATGCATCAAATAGCAACAAAATTGAGGCTAAAATAACATATTAAAGCATATAAAATGCTTATCATCAAGAAGCAATGATATCTAGTTCCTTAACTTCACTCACATACAATATATTTCGAACTCAAGATTTTTTACCTTCGTTGAAAGAAGATTACTATTAAACTTAAGCCCTTGCCTATGATAAAACGTATCCTTCATTCTGTTTAGTCTAGTATCTGAAGTTGGGTTTAGTCCATGGTTAAATGGGCAATAATTTTGAACCCATTAATCACCCTATGGATGCTGTGGCAGAGCTAGGATTTAAGATGAAGGGGGTAAATTTGTAAGTACTCAAATTAAATTTGTGTTTAAAATATTATTTTTTGATCTATTTTAGTTGTATTAATTTGATTTTTACGTAAAATTTAATTTGATAATTTTATATAATAAATAAATGACAGCCAAAATTTTTTTTTCTTTCCAAACATAGAGCTTGTTGAATATTTCACTTAAATAAAAAAAATTAGTTATCATTAATTTGTTATATAAAATATTAAGTTAATTAATATAAAGTTAACGAAATATGGCAACTAAAAGAACCAAATGGAGTAAAATATAGTTGTAAAGTCGCAAATTTATA